AGAATAGGGGACAGTTAAAATACCTCTTAGGGCATTTGTTTGTCCTTCTGTGTCCCAGTTGGGAGATTTCCCTTCACTTCCCTTCCAACAAAAAGAGGAAAGAGCAAATATCTTCAAAGTGATTGAACGTTCCCTCTAAAGGTGCCCATCGTACGACAAATCTTCCCAGTGGAGATGTAGACATGCATTTGTTTGTCCTTCTGTGTCCCAGTTGGGAGATTTCCCTTCACTTCCCTTCCAACAAAAAGAGGAAAGAGCAAATATCTTCAAAGTGATTGAACGTTCCCTCTAAAGGTGCCCATCGTACGACAAATCTTCCCAGTGGAGATGTAGACAGAAATAAAACATGGGTTCTAACCCCTTCCCAAAAATATCCAAAACCGAAAAAATTACATATATAAGCCAATTAGGCTGCACAAGCTTAACAGGCAGACAGTTAAAATTATTATTATAAAGTCACATACCTGTGCAGCTACAAATTCACAATTCCCATCAAAGTCATAAAATTTCTCATCAAATGTGATGTAATGACCACTTCCATAGATTGAACATGTAGCATAACACACTGCATCGGTACAGGTCCATCGTCCACGCAGACAAACACTGAAAATAAGCAATCAAAAGATGGATATCCAAAAATATTTGAATTCTTCTGAATCATATCAGTTTTATTTTCCAATTTTTTCAACACATAAACCAAAATAAGCAAATAATTTGAAAACGTCCAGCTGATGATTCATTAGGATTTGAACAGTTCAGGTTAAGTGCAGATTCTTAAAAACACTTTATTTTGCAGCAAATTACCTTGCGGCAAAAGGATGCGCACAGTCTCTTTAATAGGTTGCAGTGACTTTTCCAACAGTGTTTAACACTCAGAAAAAGAAAATCTGGCAAAAGCGTTATTGCTAAGCAGAATGTTTGCTTCTTGTGCTTACCATGTGTTACAGTTCACCTTGACTCGAGTCCCATGTGGGTAAACATCCTCATTGTGAATACATGAGCACCTTTCCTCAGGAACACAACCACCAGCCCCATCATCTAGAAGTCCATTGGGGCAAACACATCCTGAGATACACTCTGTCTGAAACTATTAAAACAACACAAATATATACCAATAAGCACTTCTCTAAAAACAAATTAAAATTAGCTTGAGTTTTTCGACAGTAGCAGTATATAGACTTTAAAGAGAAGGTATAGTGGTTGGGTCAATTTTATTTTAATACTAAGATGACATTTTTAAACTGTAGTTGTATATCTGTATTATGCTGTACGTTATGAATATATATTAATATATATGTTTTACCAATAGATATTGAAAATATGATAAAGAATTTATAGAGCTATGTGGGTCAGCTAAAAAAAGAAAGCGCAGCTGATTGCTTTGTGGCTGTTGTCTGATTTAAACTGTGGATTAAGGTGTCTGATAAGAGATGAGTCACAGCTGTGATGAGTTCTCTAACAGGCTTTTTTAGCATACTTGAAAACTAAAATAGCTAAACATTATTATTACAACATTGCTGGGAAACATTTCTTATTTATCTGTCTAAAAAAAAAGATAACATATTTATAAATTACACTTTATTTTCCTTAATACTGACCATAATAAATAAAGAAAATAAGTTTCCTTTAAATGTATCCTTCTCCAAAACATAAAAAACAAGTCACTTACATATTGGACACCAAGAGTCTTGCAGCTCCTATGGATGGGGGTTCCGGAAACACTTTTATGTTCATTACAGTCATAATAGACTTTTCCTTTAGGGCAAGCTGTAAAGAAACATTATATGAGCCTTATTTCTAAAATATCTGGACTAATTTAATATAATTTGGTCATACAGAGTGTCTAAGCACGTTCTGTTCATTACAAATGACTTAATTAGATTATGATATATGTATGTGTACAATCTGCAATTAAAAAGGACTGACTAAAAGAATAAGTAGTATATGTCCTTACCTTCGGGGGCATGTGTAATGCAAATTAGTTTTCCATTATGGCAAGTACTAGTTGAAAAAGAAAGAAAACAGAGAAATACATAATTAGCAATTATGTTCATAGTCAATTATATCCATATCTAGTCTTTACATCCTGTATGCTTTCCTAGATATCAGCAATCAAATTACTACATTAAGGAACAATAATTGTAAATGTATGCAGTTATACAATCATAACATCAGCTTGCAATAGTTGTATACAAGCTGGAATACATGACTATAAATTTAAATTAGGATATGTTTGGGCTATGTACAAGCATTTCTGGATGTACAATAAGCTTCAGCACATAGAGATTATTAACATGGTTCCACACACTTTGCTAAAATGAGGAATAAACCCTTGTGTTTTGGATTTGCAAATATCACCTTTACTTTATTATAACAGAAATTGTTATTTATCGCAAATGACACTGATGTTATTAGCAGATGATCAATATGTGTACCAACAACTAAAACCACTAATGTAGTCCCATGGCCAATTTAAATCTGTCAACAAAATGTTTTAGCTAATTCTATACTGTAATTGACTTTAAAAATATGTAAAATTATAGTTTATAAATTACAAGTAATTGAACTACCAAAATTCAGAATAGTGCAGCCCTGTATGTGTAAACTATGTCTATCAAAATAATTGGTGGATTTTATTATTTATAATAAATACAATACAATATTTGTATTTCATATCCTATAGCTGGTTGTTATACAGATAATTTATCTTTCTTTCTTTCTTTCTTTCTTTCTTCCTTTCTTTCCATACATTTGAAAGCCTTTTGCTATATTTGTTTACTATAAAAACCTGCAAGTAATCAAGTGAGTTGATAACTTCCTGTACTCTCTGCCTGTTCTGCAGTAATATCACTTATGTTGTTCCCAGTTACCTCTGTGAACTACAGAACGCCTCTAATCTTTATTATGGAGAAGAGGAGAGAGGAAGTGTTCACCCTCATTGTCATCCTCTGACACTTCATGTGTGAGGGTGACAATGTTGCCCCTCCAAAGTTGAGGTGCAGCAAATAAGAGTTGTCCCCCTAGGAAAATAAGTGTATTACTGGCAGGTAAGAATAGGGAGAAAAGACTGAAAAAAAGAAAACTAACACAACCACCACATCTAAGGAGTGGTGTGCTGCAATATATTAAAATTTTCTATTACATGTATGACAGTATTCATTAGCTATCTGTAGAACAATGGTATATTGTAACCTACAGCTACTGATTGCAAATCATCTTTCCTTATGTTTCCCTCAGTGAGCTACAAACATCTGATTTCTGATTGGTTGCCACAACTTTATGGCAGCCATTAGATTTTTAGAGCTTTACTTACCAACGCTCATCTTGTTTGTAGATTACATCCAATGGGTTCAAGTATGAGCCATGGTAGTAGCATGAGCACTGAGATATAGATACACACTGGTCCTTCTCATTTAGAAACTCTCCATCTGAACAGCCACAGCCATCAACTGGAGTGAACCCACTGGCACAAGCTTTCTCACCCTCTGCCAGGGAACGACAGGTTGGCTGGCATGTGGTCAGGTTATATAGATAGATTTGAGAAGATGGACAAGAGGAGATGTCCTTGTCTGCAATAGGGGAATTGCATAATGTTACTTCAGCATACTTACTTTACTTTACATTAGACATTCATATATAGAGATGATATACATGTACTTAAGATGTAATGTAGAACACTAGGGCTAATAATTAACTGGGTTTGGTTTGCAAACAGTTCTCCAATGTTGGCAAACTTTGCTGTGAATCCCATTGAAGTCTATGGGGCACTAATCTTGTTATTAAATTCTGGCCATGTGTAGGGTTAATAAGCAAGCCATTGCCAAATAAAAGTCATAGTAAGCTTGTCACTGCAATGGGGAACATGTACCAATGACAAAATCTCCAACACACACCGTGACAATATGGCTGCTGTGAGCACATCATTTTTTAAAAAGGATGCTGGGTTGTCCATCCCTTCTAATTATTGGCTCTTGTAACTCAGCTGATCAGGGACAAAGGCTATGCACTGCATTGGGTATGGTTCCTTATATCAGGTGGCAAACCTGACGATTTTGTGAACTTCGGGAATCTCAAGAATTTTATTGCGAACCCGTGTTAGTAGGAAACCCGAACCTCATTCCTAGACATACAGTAATTGGATTGCTTTTTGGTCCTGGTAGAGTACTGACCATTGCAACAAAACCAAAATTGTTTTGTAGCCCAGTCATTTAAGTAGTACTACTTATAACACAATAATGGAAATCAAGAAATGGCTAACATACCAAAAGTTAAAAGGTTGTGTTTTAAACATACTCTATAAAGTATTGCAAAATCTTTAGGAATTATAAATAGTAAGGTACACAAAAGTGTTAATATTTTGTATGCCAAGCTAAAAGCTCCTGTCACAGTTAGTCTATTAAAGTAAAATTATTTGCTAGCAGTGCTTACCACAAATGCCATTCCTCCATCCCCACAAGATGATCCCTTTGGCAGCGCAGGCCCTGACATAGGAGGAGAGTGCAGCGCACATACACTTCTCGCTGTCTTTACAGTTACAAGAGTCATAACGACACCTCTGTGCAAAGTGGAAACAAAAATGATGTGTTATATGTACAAGCATGTGCTTGTAATGTGCTCAAAATTGCACAATGCCATTTTATTTTTAAATAAAGTCTGACTCTAAGACAGTTAGCTATTTAATAAACATAATTAATCCACAGTTATTTTAAAGAGAAATATGGAAGTTATATGTAGCATCCCTCGTACATGAATAGACTCCACAAAGTGTATTTTGGTTTGTTACAACAATAACTAAAACATAGTTAAAGCCACTTCTATTTTAAAGGGTCTGTTTATCAATGTGTATTTTTGTTCACCCACCATTCACTAAATTTTCACCAAATAACCAAACATTATTCTAATTGAATTTTAGGTGAAAAAATGTGTGAAATGTGGGATAAAGTTGTAACAGATCCAGCAGACTTACCTCTCCGGCGTCCCGCACACAGAGGCTAGCTCCGCCCATTGTCTGCTGATGTCACACTGCTCCGCCCTCCTCTTCGACTTGAGCCGCAATCTTCAATTGTCCTGCGTTCTTGCAATGATCATAGACGCCGGACAAGCTCTGCCTGCCACCTCTCACCGTCCTGATTAGGGGCACTTCCCTGGGGACATTCCCACTTCCCCTCTGGACTGCACCACCATGTGCAATCCTGATTAAAGTGGCACTTCCCTGGGGATATCTCCCTTTGGACTGCAAGTTAATGGGAAATATCCCATCTCATTATGAACTATTCAGCTCACCTTGATTACAGCTCCTAACCTGCCTACTGGTCAAACCTGCACTGCTTGATACAACAATCCTACAATTCCTATACTACTAACCGCCTGCTATCTGCTGTGGCAACCAACCCTCATGGAAGTCAGTAATTCCTAGAGCAAGGATCCTGAGTTTCTGATGAAGTAACACCTGCCAACCTGACACTACGTATACGCAACAGAACAGCAAGTATCTTTTTGTTTATAAAAGCTGATATTCTTTAACCAGTTGACATCCGCGGTGTTAAACCCCCTTCCCATCCAGGCCATTTTTCAGTATTCAGCGCTGCGGTACTTTAACTGACATTTATTCCGTCATGCAGCGCTGTACTGAAATGAATTTTATACCCTTTTTTGGGGACAGATAGAGCTTTCTTTTGGTGGTATTTATTCACCACTGGGGGTTTTATTTTTTTACTATATTAAGGAAAAATTACCGAAATTTTAAAAAAAAAAAAAGTTTCCCCTATATTAAATGATAAAACATTTATTATTACCCAATTTTTTGGTAAAATATAAAAGATGGGGTCACGTCGGGTAAAAAGACACTAAACATGTCAAGCCTTAAAATTGCGTGCGCGCGCGAAACCTCAAAAAACGATAATACCCAAAATTGGCCCTAGGCGACGCTTTAAAAGCTGTTACCGCTCATCAGTTTAGTGTTATCAGTGATTGATGGCCCTAAAATGATTGCTCTCACTGCGACGTTCGCGGCGATATGTAACATGTGTAGCGCAATTGTAATTTTTGCGCGCTGGGGCACCGGACGCGTATTTACGTTTATAGGCGCGTAAACGTGGGGGTGGGGGAGTTAAACATTTTGGGGGGGTTTTTTCCCCTTTTTTTATATGTGGCTTTTATTTTATTTTATTTTTTTATGTGTTACTTTTCTTTTTTTTTATTTATATTTTTTTTTTTGCACTTATTGTTATTGCTATTATATAGGGGGATAACAACCCCCTATATAATAGCAAAGGCACACTGACAGGTCCTCTTTATGGAGATATTAGGGGTCTCTAGGACCCCTAATATCACCTATGGACCCCAAAAGAAGCTGATAAAGCAGAGATCTGCTTTATCAGCTTCTTCTCTCTCCAGATGACTGACAGGTGAATGCGGAAGTGATGTAACACACATCACTTCTGCATTCACAGCCCGGACGGGGATCAGCAAGGAGCTGATCTCCCGTCCTCCTCCTCCTGACGCCCTCGGAGCCGGTCCCGGGATCCAAGATGGGGCAGCGGATCCCGGGAATCAAGGTGAGGAGTCAGGGGGGGTGAAAAAAAAACGCGAACGAGCACATATAGGCGATCGGCGGGCTACGGCAACCCGCAGATGCAGCAGTGCCGTCCGTCCGTTTTTCTACTACGGGCGGACGGCAAGAGGTTAAAAGAATATCAAACTATTGACTTGTACCTTTGTAATGTGAAGTAACATTACGAGATATTACACTGTGTAAAGTACAACGGACAGTACATTCTATTGATTGATTTTTTGACTCTGTGGAAAAAGGAAATTTCAACACGAGATTAAATTCTGTTACTATGAAGTAAAAGTGTAAATAGAGCTTGCATAAAGTGACTTTTAACTTGTTGCAGTGACATCCGCAGCTGAGCTCCATATACTATCATAAGAGGTATTACAAAAGTTGTGTAAACCTTGGCTGAAAAAAAGTGATAAATAGACCCTAAGTACTATTTTTTTTTTAAGCTTGACTTATTTATCCTGTGGCATGTAGTGTCAGTGCCTTTTAATATATATATAAATATATTTTATTTATTTATTACTATTAAATAAATGTATATTTTTAATAAAAGTGTATCTAAACCCAAGAACACATTGCAGCTTACTGGTCCCTAACTGCATTAGATTTCTTTTTCAAACTGTTTTGTCACAATTATCATCCCAGGGAGACACTGCTCAACCACTATACTGTACATATGGAGCAGCATTCTCATCCCAGCACAGGAAGTGTGTTAGGACTATAGACTGCTATTCCCTCTCCTTATCTCTATAACATAGAGTGAAGGTGCCCAGTATTTCACAGAAGTTGATTAACAATGTTTGAGATATTAGTGCAGCATTGTCAGTTCAGTATAGAAGGTTAGAAGTTCACAGGATTTCAACAGGTGCATACACTTTAGTTAAAATACTCTGATCTTCCTTATGTTTGATTAATCATTTACTACACCCAGAAGCACAATTGCTCTTTGAACCCATTAAAACTACCAAGAATGTGCCTGGCACATCACAGGTGACTGCTGTTATTCTTCTGGTATCTTCTTGTAAAGTTCTTACCTCTGGCATTCCAAGTACATACTAATGGGCTGTTTATTGAAGAAGACACTCTGTCACCTACTGAGTTTTATATCTGTTGTAAAGTCTTTAACTCAGTATATCACTTTTGCCAAATACTATACACTTTGTCAAATGTATATACTATACATGTACTTAACACTAAATAGGTGTCATATTTTCAGAAGTGATTCCAAAGGCGGAATATTTCATCACAGGTAAATGCACACTATACAATACTCACCTTTGCATACCAAGTCGGGTCTACAGCTGAATGGCATTTAGCAAAAGGAGTCTCATCTTTTTCCAGCAAAGAGCACCAATAGTCTGCATAGTTTTCTAGAAAGAATCAAGCAATGTGATTATTGTATGCATGAGAGCAACATGTTAAAATGTAACTAAGTAAAGAAAAACCTTTACTGGGTAAAATGGCTAGACATGTTTACTGCATGTGCTGTTTTCTTACTGAATGAAGGATTGTTTTTTGCTCTTATAATACCTTCAGGAAATATCAATTCCTGATTTACAAGTGGCTTCATGGATACATGGATAAATATAACCTTACCATTATTTCCAAAAACACTAGAAATCTTGAACTGATATCATTTACAAAAGAATAGAAACAAATGCCTGCTGTGGAGGCTCATTATACAGACCTTTCTATGAATGTTAGAGACATGGGAAATCCATTATATGAAATATTTTTCAGTTTTATTAAAAAGGATTATAGATTTTATAGGGCAAAAAGGTAAAATCTGTGGTATCGGTTGACCAGTGCAGCAACATGTTAACCTGTCTGGGCTTATCAGGTCCCCTGATGGTCGAAACCCCTTGGCTAGATTACACAAATACGGCTGCATTCACACAAAAGTGTAAGGACAGGTTCACACCATTTTCCAGACCAGATCTGGACCAGTGCATTGCCTTTTGCCACGTTTTGCCACGTTTTTACCGTGTTTTACTGATTTTGCCGCATTCCGGAGCTGCTGTTTTTTTTTTTTTCTTTTTTAGCTTACAATGGGCTTTCAGGTGCATTCCAGTGCATTTGCATGCATTTGTATGTGTTTTTCATGCATTTCCGTGCATTCCAGACCAGACAGAATGAGACATGCAGTATTTTTCTGGGCTGGTCTGGAACAGACTGCGCTGGTGTGAAATAGCAAATGCATACATCAGGATGCATTTTGGGTCCGGAAAAAATCTGGTCTGGTCTGGAGATGATCTGGATGTGGTGTGAATAAGCCCTAAGTGTAGCCAGGCTTTTTACAGCCTTTTTTGTACATGCATGTATATGTGTTTTCAAGTGTTATCATGTACTATTTGTAGTACAGAAGCATAATTGAGCCTTTTATTTTAGAGTTTTAAATAGGGGAGCCTGACAAATGTGTGTAAAGGTGCCCATACACCTTACGACCATCGCAAGACTAAATAAATAAAGAGCAATATTTACTCCTTTTGCAGTATACTACATTTTGAGCTGTCATTTCATGTATTAATTATGATTAATGGAGATCTTTTTTTAAATGCACACTATAGACTGCATGGTATTCTACCTAATTATTCTTTAACCTTGAGAACAGGTTAATTACTTCCATTCAATAGTTGTTTTCTTTAGCGATGGTTGGATATATAAACAGGTAAAAATTTAGGATCTTAGAACTTAAAAAAGGAGAACCCTGTGATAAAAAAATAACCTTTTTAGTGAATGGTCGTGGTGATCACTCTTTGGGAATGCGTGGGCATCAGTTGGTTTTCTGTTGCTCTAAATCCATACCTAGCACTGCAGAATGGATATTGGATAGTAGCTATATAAAAAATAGTGTCTTACTGTTCTCAATGCTGAGGCTGCAGGGATCATCCAGCAGGTCTGACACATCATGGCAGTTGGGTTGGGCCTTCCAAGTGTTGGCAAAGGCTGATGCTGTTGCTTCAACTAGACCACCCGATGTTTTAAAATCATCTGCCTCCTTATAATTAAAGTTTCCACAAAGACCTGCAAAACATTTTTACATTTCTTATTGTGTTTCCTGGTATCACAACATTGCAATAAATATCTCTTTCCACCCACGTTCAATGCAAAGATAATGAATGCTATGTAAATGTTCATGCATTTAACAGTCCCACTGATAAATCTTTGAATTATGCTTTGGAAGTCCTCTTGGTCCAATCAAGAGTCAGTCTGTACTTGGTGATGAATGTATCTTAACATGTATGTAAACATTAAATCTATATTTCAGTATATTGGTTATCATGCCCCACTACATACAATTTTTGTAATGGAAAATGTTTTTTTATGAATCTTTTGGAAATATTATTACCTTGAGATACTGCAAGTAACATAACTTCCTATTGCACGTTGACAACTCTAAACCACTGCCCTAAAATTGGGAGCTTGCTGTGTAGGCTCCTTCATTTGTTTGTTGGACTGCCTATCTGATCATCCTGATAGGAATACAAATTGCCAACTGAAGGAGTTCTCATGACAGGCTCACAGTGCTGCTACCAACAGATTCACAAAAAAACAATTTGCTTTAAGCTATATACAGTATATACAGTATAGTTGTTACACATGGGATAATATAAATATTGTACCGTACAATATGGTCATGTGTAGGTATCATGTACATAGGTGACAGGTTCCCTTTAACTGACCTTGAAGTCGTCCCCTGGCAGATTTCTCCCTAGTGATGTATAGTTGCATCATTGGCTGCAGCTGAATCTGCATCTGAAGGCCAAAGGTAGCTTGAACAACAATGTAAGGACTAGAGGGCTGCATGATGGAGAAGCTAGCTGTAAAAGAGAACAAAAGGATACTGAGAATTAACCATGCTGGACTGTACTTCTTTCAGTTGACTCTCTGGTAATATATAGTATACTTTCTGTGTAAATAAACAGTTGGTGTTGCTTGTCTTACATATATTTATGTGTTTCTGTGTAAAATCTAGGTTCCCATGTTCACGTAAACAGAAAACTGCTTGAATTCCATTTCCCTTTTTACACATTTGAAATTACCTTATCTTTATTGTATCCTTGGTAAAGGATTTGTTTTCTTGTTTGGCCATTTTTATGATTTATACCTATATTCCACGGTTCAGCCAGGGAGATGCCTGTATTCATATCTCCCAAATTTAAGAGATGGGAAAGAAGGACACCTTAAGCATGTAGGCAAACACACCCCTGCCATGTCCCTAGTTATGGCAGGCCATAACGAATTATCACACAAAACAAGGATTGGTTATTTGGCTTTTCACCACTTCCTATTTTAATTATGCATTTTAAATATGTAAATATTCTATGACATTTTTATGCAGATCTGTACATCAGAACAAAAAGAGGAACAACTAAAGAGAAAAGAAAGACAGAGGGATTTGGTTCCAAAAGTGAAATAGTCCTTCCGAACGAGGAACAGTTGGGGGCTATACATGCTGTACTACTTCCTAATTTAGTTTTACTACTTTTAGTAGCAACCTTCTGTCCATTGGACAGAGGTGATAGCACTGAACAATGTAGAATGAGCAGGCTGGAGGCAGAGAGGTGGCATGGAAAGCATTGCTAGGCTAAAAAAAAAACTGTCTGTTGTCTGGCTATGCAGTGTGGCAGAGGTATTTAAAGCACATGAAACACTGAACAGAATTATAAATTATTTAGAAGGTAATAAACAGTAAATATACTGTTGTTATTGCATTATACATTGTCTTGTGATATTACCTGTGACATGCGGCAGTGTTACTTTTAGTTCATTCAGTAGAACTGTGCCATCAGCCTTGAAGCTCACCACCTAGATCAAGGAATGAATATTATAGTTACTTTGTTCATTAGTGTCACTAGAAGGTTATCCTTAGGACATCTCTAGCTAAAATGATATTTTACCTTTTGCATGGTGGCCCACCAGTTAAATCTATCAGCTACATATGCAGCAAGACATACCTACCAGAACTGCCATCTCCACACGGATAATGCAGCTGTTACAGAGACAAATTATGGTGTTACGGTCACTCACATTATCTTATCCCCATGTGTGTACCACAATGAACAGCACCGCATGCTATTTGCAATGGTGCGATGTGATGCCATTTATTCCGAATGACACACCAACGTAGGTGAAGTGCACCACAGTGTGTAAAATGAGGTGCTGCCAAAAATGTTCAGGTCCGATTTCTGGGCTGAGAGTTTTATTTAGCATTCATGTTGCTGGCAAGCAGGGATGAGCTCAGGTATGGACCAAAACCCCTCCCGAACATAGAAGGAAGCTCCTTCCATGCCACCCACACAGCTGCTGCCAGGAAATTCTCCACCCGCAGCTTGATGTAAACAAAGGGGTGGGATGCAGCGACATCACTGACCTTATATGGCTACATGCCTATATTTGGTAAATTACATTGACCTAATATGGCTATGTGGCCTCTGTGGCCATATTAGGTAAATGACAGCAGCACAAGCATCCCCGTTTTGATTACGTACAGCTGTGTGTGGGGGGGGGGAGCCTGTACTACAGCTGTTTGGGTGGAAGTGGCCATGGCGTTTGGAGGAGATCAGACCTGGTCTGAAGCCATGAGTGACAGGATCACTTGTGTGACATTATACCTTAATTAATCCTCCAAAACATCAAATATGCAAACACTAGATAATCCATTTTCAGGGAATATTTCTGTTAGAGTCTCCAGAGGGTGACATTTTTCAGTTTAATTTTTGGCCTTATAAATATAATTTTGACAATGATCATTTCTGATGGTGTTGGGAGCAAACATCAGGTTCCCAAAATTATTTTTATTTTTTCTTGAAATCATAAGAGATCTTTATGAATGGTTGTTTTTACAACGTTGGGATTATCAAAATTACCTGATATACTTACATTTTTCAGGTTATCTGTGAGGAGTGTAATGGACTTGAGACAGGTTTCTCTTGCCAATGAACTGCAAGGAGTCATCTCCCCTAGGATAACATGTGTTTCATTTCCATAACCCTGCAACAGTAGCAAGAAACAACTTATTAATAATTATCTGTTCAGAAACAATTGTTTAACATTATTCTATATACAAAGCATATATGCAAAGGAACATGCAATCAGTGGAGTAGCAATAGCCCAAGGAACCCTCGGCGGCTGCTATGGGGCCTGGGATAGGAGAGGAGGGGGGCCCATTAAGGAGACTGTCACTGATGTCTTAGCAGTCTAGATATACTGCCCTCTGAACTTCTGCTACAGTCTGAAATTGACCCTGTATGCCTAATGCAGTAAAAAAAAAATCCCAGATAATTAAAACCTTATAGGACAGCTGAGGTTTGTAAAAAAAAGTTCTAAAAAAGGCGTAGAGAAGCTAAAGTTTAAAGAAGTAGGGTTATACATTAATTGTGTGCAGGAGCATTAATATATACTTTATATAAAGTTAATATCTTTTTTTATACTTATATTTTATATAATTTTGTATAAAATTGTATCTAAGAAACTGGTCTCTAGTACTCTGGCAATGCTGACAGCTCTTCTGCTGCTAGTCCTTGATTCAAGCATACTTTATTTTAAGATCATTGACATGTATTGTGAAAGTTAACACTGCTAGGGTTTACAGTGAGTTAACCAAACTTTTCTGTGGGCCTTCATAATTCCATAGTTACAATAAGGCCCCCGTCAGACTATAGCATTGTGAAACATTGCATTAATGCACATTAATGTGCATTGTGTTAAGACAGCCCATACATTTTGAAGCACACTTTGAAGCAGGTTTGTGTGTTGTGCAGTGACGTGTGGTACCTCTTGCGGGGGGTGAGGACTTCCCCAGCCCCGCCCCCGGCTGACCGAAGCCCCTCTCCGTCGGTGAAGATCTGCCCCCATTGGCCGAAGCCAAACTCGCCCCCAAGCTAGTGTAAAGGAGGAAGGGAGGAGACAGGGAGGAGCCTTCCCGTCCCTCACTTGCTCCTCACCGCTGAGGCTCCGTGACAGGTTACACAGCTGGGAGGAATTTCCCTTCTGTGTAACCTGTTGGATGCCGATCTCAATGGAGAAAAAGCTCATGTCTGAAGCTGACAGCTTTTTCCTCCATAAGTCTAGGTGAGGCTCTGCCTCATCTGCCTCCCCTGACCGCACGTCCCTGGTGTTGTGGTGCCATTTAGAATCAATGGCACTGAAATACATCTCACAAAGAGGCTTGCGTGTTCAAAGCTAGCTAGAGTTGTGCTAACCAAAGACATTTTAGCCAGAGTTATACTTGTAAGTTAGAGTTGCTATTTAATTAGATTGCTGAGCCTGTTTTCAGCCTGTCTCACATATGGTCATGCATTCTTTTGTATGTTCCTCTCCATTCTCAGGTGCCTTATCTCACTTTGTCTTATCTCACTGAATTCCATTCCCATGCTAGGATATTCCTTTTTGTTTGTTATAAGCTACACACCTTCTTCTAATAAACAGGAACCTTTTTTGTTTTCTCAGAGTGAAGTGTTCTCCATGCATGTGCATTAATCTGGAATTGTCAACAGATTATTGGCTTTAACGTTTGCATTACCAGGTATTGCATCAATACTCAGTAAAACAAACATTTTACCGCACAATACTGCAAAACATAGGTGTGTAGCTGGGCAGAGATGTATGAACACTGAATCATAACATGGCATGCCACTAAAAACATAAAATGGGTTTTGAGCAAACACTCAGCTTTCTGGCAAGCGTTTCCATTATTGCAATCAAGTATATCTAAAACCAAAACTCCTTTAAACACAGTGGGGAAGAGGTAGCAAACCTGTTAGGTTTTTATTGCCAATTAACAAGAGCAGAATGCTTAAAGTCCAGATTTAATGTTATTCAGATTCTTGTATCATTAAATTCACATGCATTTAGGGGATTCAAAGGGCCTTCCTTCATCAGGGCATGGTAATGTTGAACAAAGTGTGTATTGGATTGAAAGAATTGGAGGTATCCTGAGGGGTAATTAGTATGATGGCTGCAGATGTCAGTTAAGTGTCAGCTTTTTATATTATAAAATATTTTTTTTAAATGATTTTGGAATTCATATGTACACCCAGCCCCTGCTTGAGCAAAGAGCTAACCTTTGTCCATCGCTCCTGGGAGAGTTACGTAAGGATAATCATTCCCTCCACATTTCTTAAAATCTAACTGTAAATACCTACTGCTTTAGGAGATCCAGCACCCTGCACCTTTCTTCTATTGTCAGAGGTTTTTAATGCTGCATGGCCACATTAGAGAGATTCACCCTCTGCATTTGTATACTGCCCATAAGGTGCTTTGTTTTGTTGAAGTTTATGAACAGATGACTGGTTCACTTTAAGCATTTGCTGAAATACAGTGTGCACCTTTCACCTAAACTTTATTTTCATACTGAGTCATGCTTCAAATATACTTTTGTTGATTGATGGAGATCATAGATGTGCGTCACAATGGTATATTATATATTATTCCTGACTATATTATGTATTCTTATGCTTGCACTTGTTGTAAAAAGTGCCTTTGTGTTATGGCAATGTGTTACACCCAGGTACCTCTATATATCACTCTATTTATTTATCCTTTAAATACATTATTTGTAACACTTACCTTTCACCTTTTTTATTTCTTGTTTCATTGAATTACTTTATGTCAATGAGTTAAAATTAATTTGAGAATGTTACACAGTAACACCCTAATCCCTTTCTCTTAAAAATTGCTAGGAATTTTTTCATTTATTTTGCTAAGCAATACCTACAGTTGTAAAAAAAAACAGCTTCAGCGTGTCACTGTGATCTTGGTTTGACTACTCAGTAAGTCATTGATGCAAAGTAATCATCCAGCCAGTAAAGTGGGACATGTGATATGCACATACGCGTTCCAGGCCATTAACAAAGAGGTAGGGAAGGAATAAACAGATGTTTCTGCTAAGAAAATGCTATCTCCTAGTAATTTTTAAACAATAAACTACAATTCTGCTTTCAATTGCATTTTTCAACTTCCCAACCAGCTGATTATCTATTTAAAAGAGAACTACAATGAAAAGTTTGTTATTTGATAAGTGTATGAGGTATAGAAATCCTTTTTTTTTACTTCACATGCCTTTCTTTACTTAGAAGTTTCTCCTTAGTTCCATGTGGACCGAGCCATCTAGCAAGGTGACTGTGATAAGGGTTAGGGAAAACAACAGCACTCACTGGAGTGCTTAAGCTTTTGCAGCAACAATATTATTATAGTTGCATCACAAGTATGAACTGTATAGAATTATTGGAATTATGGTATTTATAGTAAAAAATTGATCTAAACCTGTGGTTGAATTTACAGTTACGTTTAATTCAATGATGGCAACAATTTGTTCTTACTTTCCATTTCACCATCCAAATCTTTGCAGTGATCATTTGCGCATAATTTCTCATTATTCCTTGTGACTAAAAATGGTTGTGTGAGGTTTTTCATCATTTTATTAATTTTTTGCAATTGCTTGTATAAGATGGCAGCTCCCCAGTATACATTGTAATCTTTGGAAGTCAGATAATTGTCTTATAAATCTAACAGTTGCCAATCTATCTGCATTACCGTATGCCATATCCTATTTATTGTGCTTGAGATTTATAATTGTAATTAACATAAAGGGTTCAACAATGAGTAGTAAATATAAGTAAGCAAAAAGTCTCTTGCCTTAGACAGCACATAGTAGCAATCACCATGGAAGGTATAAGACTTCCCATCGAAGGTGTTGATATGGGCTCCTCCTTCAATGGAACAAGATCCAGGACAAGCACGGTCTGTGCAGTTCCATCTTCCTGAAATGCAGCGGCTGTAATAGAAATAAACTGAATGAAGCTTAGCTTTGGTACATCATTGCAATTATAATTTACTGAAGGTATACATGCATGTGATTTATCTTTCCAGTTTAGGTTACCATAGAGCTCAGTACTGTAACTGGATTATATCGTATATCCAACTAATCAGCTGACATATGCAGCTGGTAAACTGGAGCCTATATTGGGACCTCTACTCTATATTTCCCTGTTGAAATGTCTTCTCTGATACTCAATATCATATCATATACATTTTTTTATGAGTCAGAGAGAAGGCAGGCTCTAAGCATTCGCCATCAGCTATTCCTCAATATGCAATAAAGTCAACATGTTAGCCCAAGCTACAAATTGCTAGACCTGTAATCAGTTGCCCTGCCAGGACCTCCTGCCTGCCTTGAAGCTTTGTTTTATCTAACTGTAATCTGGACCTCCAGACTAAATGGTCTCGTAAGGGCTGAATCACTGCAATGTATTTCTACTTCTGAGTGTATTTCAGCATGAGCAATTAATGTCTGTATTGAATAGGCTTTCCTCTTGTAAAACAATGCAAGTAACCTTAAGATCCACCTTCTGGCCCATAAAGATAGTTCACGATATTAGTCTGCAATATTTTATATTTCAGATATACCTGTACACAGTGAGTGTGTGTGTGTGTGTATGTGTGTGGCCAGAGCCACACACATTGCAGAGTATATATACACTATATTACCAAAAGTATTGGAACACCACTCCAAATCTTTGGATTCAGGTGTTTCGTGAAATGTCCTTGCTACTAAATATTCCACGGTCAACTGTTAGTGGTTTTATAGCAAAGTGGAAGCAACTGGGAACAACAGAAACTCAGCCATGAAGTAGTATGCCACATAAAATGACAGAGTGGGGTCAGCGCATGCTGAAGTGCACAGTGCGCAGAAATCACCAACTATCTGCAGAGTCAATAGCTACAGACCTCCAAACTTCATGTGGCCTTCAGATTGGCACAACAACAGTGCGTCGAGAGCTTCATGGACTGGGTTTCCATGGCCGAGCAGCTGCATCCAAGCCTTACATTACCAAGTGCAATGCAAAGTGTACTTAATGCAAAAGAAAAAGTTTCCTAACTAGAGGAGAGCTGGTCATGTCTTTTTTTACAGGTCATGTGTCTAGGCTCTTCTCTCAGCATTTTTTGTTTTGTTTACTACACTCATTAATTTTTATTGCACTACTCTGGCTTCAGACTCCTGAAGCAGGCAGAGTACAATGCACATTCGTAAAGTCCACCAGTGTTCTTGCTAACACTTAAAAATCTAAGAAAGCACCTTACCTTAAAAGATCATCTCTTGACCCCACCCAGCACAGTTCCTTTATTAAATTCAATATGTAAATAAAGTCCTTCCCACCAATAAGATAGTTTATACTTACCTCTCTTTCTGCCAGTGCCGCTCATCTCTGTTGTAATGAATCATCAGAATCTGACACTTTTAGGTCCTTGGTTCCATGCTGTGCTCTGAGGTCCCAGGGCACAAAAATGATGTAGGCCTAGGGGTGGCAAATGAAACTACTGAGCACAGCAGGGAATAAGGAAGCTAATACTACCAGAAATGTCCGTTTTTGGAGATTCTTTAGATGACTTTTTTCTTCATTACAACAGAGATCATTGGCGTGGGCATCGGGAGGGGTGAGTATAAATTATCTTCTTTGCAGGGAGGATTTTATTTTGCATATTTCTTTTAGGGACAGAGCCGTTTTAATGATATGGCCTAAAAGCAAAACATACACAGTTCCAAAAGTTGAATTGGGTATCAGAAAGTATTTAATTGTATACAAATATATTCAATTGATAAAATATTCAAATAGGAGAAACAGAAAAACAAACTCTCAGCACTTTCAGATGACAGATGACAAGATGTCTTATAGGCATGTAAGTTTAATTTTGTTCCAAATTGAAATTTGGATGTATATATATATAGGTGTCCCAAAAGTATTGGGACACCCCTCCAAATCTTTGGATTCAGGTGGCCACAGGTGTATAAAATCAAGCACCTAGGCATGCAGACTGCTTCTACAAACATTTGTGAAAGAATGGGTTGCTCTCAAGAGCTCAGTGAATTCAAGCGTGGCACCGTGATAGGTTGCCACCTGTGCAATGAGTCCATCTGTGAAATTTCCTTGCTACTAAATATTCCACGGTCAACTGTCAGTGGTATTATAACAAAGTGGAAGCAACTGGGAACAACAGCAACTCAGCCACAAAGTGGTAGGCCATTTAAAATGACAGAGTGAGGTCAGCGCATGCTGAAGCGCACAGAGCACAGAAGTTGCCAACTGTCTGCAGAGTCAATCGCTACAGACCTCCAAGCGTCCTGTGGTGTACTCTGGAGTGGCAAATCACGCTTCTCTGTCTGGTAATCTGATGGATGTGTCTGGGTTTGGTGGTTGCCAGGAGAATGGTACTTGCTTGACTGCATTGTGCCAAGTGCAAAGTTTGGTGGAGGGGGGATTATGGTGTGGGGTTGTTTTTCAGGGGTTGGGCTTCGCCCCTTAGTTCCAGTGAAGGAAAATCTTAAGGCATCAGCATACCAAGACATTTTGGACAATTTCATGCTCCCAACTTTGTGGGAACAGTTTGGGGATAGCCCCTTCCTGTTTCAACATGACTGCGCACCAGTGCACAAAGCAAGGTCCATAAAGACATGGATGAGCGAGTTTGGGGTGGAGGAACTTGACTGGCCTGCACAGAGTCCTGACCTCAACCCGATAGAATACCTTTGGGATGATTTAGAGTGGAGACTGTTAGCCAGGCCATCTCGTCCAACATCAGTACCTGACCTCACAAATGCGCTTCTGGAAGAATGGTCAAACATTCCCTTAGACACACCCTATACCATGTGGAAATCCTTCCCAGAAGATTTTAAGCTGGCAAAGGGTCAGCCAACTCAATATTGAACCCTATTGACTAAGGCTGGGATGCCATTACACGTTCATGTGCGTGTAAAGGTAGACATTTAGAATAATTTCTCCTGGAGCATACAGAGTCCCTCTGTGTTTACAGTGACATTCACTCACTGCAACACAGCCTTTATCAGTGTGGTCATCCAGTACAGTGCCTGAAAACAAGGGAAAAAAGTAATTTATCCTAAATGATGGGTCCCACCAAATAATAATTACAATAATTATTGTTGTTATTGTTTATATAATTATTACAAATCTAATATACAGTACAGTAGAATGGCAATGATAATTTTGGCAATGATAATTTTGCAGGGAGATAAATAAATGATTTGACAGGGGGGGGTGTGGCATTCCTTTTAATATTTAAGTTATTATGTAAACTGTGTTCAAATATATAAGTATATTGTACGGAGTTAGTAAACTTGTAGTTTGCATAGAGTATGGAAAAGGTACATTTCTGAGTTTTTATTTATGACTGTGATCCCAGTTGGCTGTATTTTCCCTTGTGATGTCCATTCAAGAAATGGAGGCGCAGTCATCAGGACAAGTAAGCATGGACAGCAATCAAAAGAATTGTCAGAACCCTTAGGGTTAGGACAAGATTTAGGCTAGTGTCATAACAAGGGTTACCATTTCTGGTATATTGGTTTGAGGCAAAAAGTAAGAAAAGTATTCACATTTTTTTTTTCTCAGGTGAAACCAGGCAGTTACAATCTAAAAATCAACACAAGATGTAAGATTACTACCTACTATCTACTAAAAACATCGGCATTGATCAAATTATTTTTCTAGTCTTTAATATCATAGAAGGAGGTGAAAACCTCCCAAGCGCACTAAAAATTAAGGAGAAATCTGCCAAGAATAGACAAAGACAGAAATACGAGAGGTTCTAATTTGCCCCCATCTGAAAAAAAAATGGTTAGACTGAAGGTGGCTAGGGATTGAGGTACTTAGAGGGGAAATAAAATAAGATTATGTTTTGGACTAAGTTAGGGCTATTTTTAGGACAGATTTTAGGGTTAGGGCTAGATTTAGAGCTAGTGTCATAACAAGGGTTACCATTTCTGGTATATTGGTTTGAGGCAAAAAGTAAAAAAAAAAGTATTCACATTTACAACTTTTTTCTCTTAACAGGTGAAACCAGGAAGTTACAATCTAAAAATCAACACAAGATGTAAGATTACTTTCTACTATCTACTAAAAAAATGTCAACATTTAAATGGATATCATGAGCGGTATGAAATATATTTCTATATGAACCCATATGAATATACAGAGTTGGTAAACTTGTAGTTTGCATACAGTATGGAAAAGGTACAAGTTTTTATTTATGACTGTGATCCCCATTGGGGGTATTTTCTCTTGTGATGTCCATACAAGAATGAGGTGCAGTCATCAGGACAAGGAAGCATGGACAGAAATCAAAAGAATTGTCAGAACCCTTTACCACTCCATTATAAATGTATTTGTGGTATTTTCTCTGTTGGAGAAATTTCCCAATAAAAAACTGATAGAGGCTCCACTGTACCTCCCTGCTCAACCCACACACAAAACTCAAAATAGACTGGAGTTGGGCTTCATCCTTTTTTGCCCAGTTAGCATCTTACAATAGAGCCAAGAACACGTTGGCCAACATATTAATATGGCTCTTTATTTCAACTTTTTGAAAAGACTAGATTAAAACACCATCAGCATTGATCAAATTATTTTTCTAGTCTTTAATATAATAGAAGGAGGTGAAAACCTCCCAGGCCTCTATGTAACAAGTGCACTGAAAATGAAGGAGAAAACTGGCCAGAATAGACATAGACAGAAATACGAGAGGTTCTAATTTGCCCCATCTGAAAAACAAATGGTTAGACTGAAGTTGGCTAGGGATTGAGGTACTTAGAGGGGAGATAAAATAAGATTATGTTTTGGACTAAGTTAGGGCTATCTTTAGGACAGATTTTAGGGTTAGGACTAGATTTAGGGCTAGTGTCATAACAAAGGTTACCATTTCTGCTATATTGGTTTGAGGCAAAAAGAAAAAAAATTATTCACATTTATTTGTTTTCTCTTAACAGGTGAAACCAGGAAGTTACAATCTAAAAATCAACACAGCATGTAAAATTACTATCTACTAAAAACATGTCAGCATTCAAATGGATATCATGAATGGTATGAAAGATATTTCCATATGAACCCACACATTCCACATGGTATTGTTAAGAGGTAAGCAGAAGGTTTGTTTGGTTAGTATATTAAGCTCATTTAAGTCACCTTCAGGACAGAAGCAGCCATCCATATAGTGCTCCTCGCACAGGCTGTGTATCTCTAGGTGGGAGCAGGAGTTCTTGCAAGGGGAGGCACTCTCTTGATAAATCATATTGGCAGGACATTGCTTTGCTGCAAAATGAACAAAAAAAATGTTATATTATCCAGTCAGAAATAAGGTATACTGTGTAGGTCACAGGTTGTGAATTACCATTCTAATAATCTCTATTTACACTTTTAAAATATATCTCTTTTGTGTGGAACAATGTTTGCGTATAACCATATTAAATCCATATAATATATATCAATGCCTACTGAGATACAGTAGAGTAAACCTAGGCCTAATCTACTAAAGTGTAGAGTGAGGTAATATCGAGTAAACTGGACCTAATTTACTAAATTGCAACATGTGGTGAAGTGAACCCCTTATATACTAAATTGTAAAATGGAGTAAAGCAGAGTGAACCCAGGCCTAATTTACTAAAGTGTAAAGTAAGGTAAAGTGAAGTAAAACTAGTCCTAACTTACTAATGTGTTATGTGAGGTGAAGTGAAGTAAAACTGGACCTAACTTACTAAAGTGTAAAGGAGGTGAAGTGAACCTTGGCCTAATTTACTAAAAAATGAAGTGAGGTAAAGTAGAGTGAGCCCAGGCCAAATTTACTGAAGTGTAAAGTGAAGTAATCCTGGGCCTAATTTACTAGTGTAACGTGAGGTGAAGTGAACCCAAGCTTAATTTTCTAAAGTGTAAAGTGAGGTGAAGTGAACCGAGGCCTAATTTACCAGAGTGTAAAGTGGGATAAAGTGATGTGAACCCAGGCTTTATGTACTAGAGTGTAAAGTGAGGTAAAGTGAAGTGGCCCTGGGCCTAATTTACCAAAGTCTAAAGTGAGGTGAAGTTTACCTGGGCTTAGTTTACCAAAGTCGAAAGTGAGGTGAAGTTTAGCTGGGCTAAGTTTACCAAAGTCTAAAATGAGGTGAAGTAAACCATGGCTTAGTTTACCAAAGTCTGAAATGAGGGGAAGTGAACCTGGGCTTAGTTTACTAAGGTTCAAAGTGAGGTGAAGTGAACCTGCGCCTAATTTGCTAAGGTGTTAAGTGAAGGGACATAAGTCTGGGCCTAATTTGCTCACAATGAGTCAAGTTGAGCAGCTGTAAAGTGTTACAAGTGGGTCAGCATGATGCAGGGGGGTACAGACACATTAGGCTGTCGGGTACTGAGTTTATATATAGTGGCCGGTCTCTCACTTTAAATAAAGAAAGCACAAGTATTAACTTGTTATATTTAGCATCAGGAACAGCACTACAATGTAAAAAAATAGCCTGTTTTTTTTTGTTAGTAACCATCAGTTGTATTCTTTCCTCAAGGTTTCCTGTATGCTGGGATAAAAACTAAACTGGAAATAACACATTAGAGAACTGCAATGGTTGCAAGTAATGTTTAAGAGTATCCACATTCAGGATGAGTCTTCTGGTCACCTCCTGCTACCTGTTTAAACTCTGCTGTTGTCAGGTACAGACAAGCATCTCTATGTCAGTTATGGACCGGGAGTTAGCAACTGTCCTGTACTACAGAATCCTCCCAACTGGTGACTGACTGAAATTTAAATGTGAAATCCATGAATTTGATTCTTCCTATGTGTCAAGTAGAAAGACGTGGGAGCCGCGCGGCGGACGATGGCGGTTGTGTGCTGATACCGCTCCGCATCGCCTCAGCACGGTCAGGCTATTAACACAGCTCCTACCGTAAGACTGTGTACCTCTTCTGCCTCGATCGGCGGCGGACATACTCCGGGATTGCCATGTCCCGTCCCGGCTCTAAAATACAGCCTCCTCGGGGCCCCTCCATCAAGGAAGCACTGGCTAGGGCAGCCTCCAAGATGGCGCCGGCTTCTCACGGCCTGATAGGCCCAACTGCCTCTCAATCACCTCAACAAGATGACGCAGCAGATGACAGTGATGCCGGCTCCCTCCCTCCTGCCTGTGAGTCACAGACTGATCTAATACACAAAATAGATTGTATGTTGCAGAAAGCTCTTGCTACTACATCTAAACAAATTACTACTCAGCAGTCAAGGGAAATTCGTGAATTGGGGCAATGTACTGCTGACTTAGAAATTCGTATGGATACAATTGAACTTCATTCTACTTCATATACTGATGATTTAGACAAAATTCGTGAAGAAAACTTATTTCTAAATTCTAAAATAGAGGATTTGGAGAATCGTTCAAGACGCTCAAATTTGCGCTTTAGAGGAATTCCTGAACATGTAATGGATCTACAATCGACCATTACTGCTTTGATCCAGGAATTGGCACCATCCATTCCGATTGAACGTCTCGAAATGGAGAGAATTCATCGAGCCCTGTCTAAACGCAGACCGGACGGTCCTCCTAGAGATGTCATCGCTAAGTTTTTATTTTTCCGCACTAAGGAGGAAATATTAAAGGCAGCCCGAAATAGACATTCGTTATCCTTCCAAGGCGCTCCATATCAGATATTTGCAGACCTGGCCCCCTCAACCATTGCTAAACGGAGGGAACTAAAGCCTCTTCTTCTGATCCTACAACAACATCAGATTACGTATCGCTGGGGCTTTCCGTTTCGCCTCCTCTTCACTTATAACGGTCGCACATACCAGGACTCCACCTTAGACGGTCTTCGGCGCATTCTCACTGATCTGCAACTGGTGCCACAGTCGGAACACTCATCACTGATCCAACCCAAACGTCGCAGACACACATCCCCTCCGGATCCATCTTCCACGCTATGAAGAGTGTTCGTAAGAAGATGTCCCTACCTTAGGCTGTCGACATGGACTCCCCCGGTTGATATTCTGAGATTCACGTTTCTCCAATGCCTACCCTGTTTGACCCCTTCAGGGTGTCGTATTTGCTCTGATGAGATTTATAGTCCCGCTTAATGGTTAAATGAGTATTATTCTTTGATGCATGTTATTTTATTGGGGCTGTTTATTAGCAATGTTATGTTATATTCCTTTAAGCCTGCGTGCTGAGGCGACTGTCATTGTTGCCTCCTTTTAGACCTTCATAGGTGGGATTTCCCCCTAGTAGGTCTAACCTCAGCCTGATAGAGAGATGCAGGTTGACTGTCTCTCTCTACTTCAGTCTGTTTTTGGTTCCTTTTTTGGTGTTTACACCATGGACTTTAGTATTTTATTGTTTTGTTTCATAGTTTTTCTCCCTTCTCTCTCTCTTTTTCTTCTTTCTCACCCTTCCCCCTTCATCTTATCCTCCTCCCTAGGTTCACAAGAAGTTACACTACCGCTCATTCAGATCTTATTTGTTATGTTTCAATCATATGCTGAACACTACCCACGCCCCCCATAATGTCATCTATTAAATTGATTACCCTCAATGTTAAGGGCCTTAACTCTCCCCATAAACGAACTCTGGCCTTTCGACACTTTAACTCCGTACATGCAGATATTATCTGCCTTCAAGAAACGCATTTCTCCCAATCTTCTACTCCTAAATACTTTCATAAAAACTTTTCGCAAATTTTTGTAGCCTCCTCTACCTCTAAATCGAAAGGAGTCCTGATAGGCTTTCATCGTCGCCTGAATTTTGTATGCATTAAAGAGATTACCGACCCTGGCGGCCGATATCTAATCCTTATGGGCCGGCTTAATGATCAGGAAGTTACCATTGTGACCTATTATGCCCCTAACTCTAAACCTCTTTCTTTCTTCCGCCATCTACCATTGCTCATCATCAAAAGGGCCTACTCCTTCTATGTGGAGATTCAAATGTATCTATCTCCCCCATCCTAGATAAATCCCCTAATACCTCAAGTAATTCTGTTTCCACATCCTTCCAGACTCTTTTATCCCAATATGCCTTGATAGACACTTGGAGGGAATTACACCCTACTACACGAGATTATACATTTTACTCTTCCCCTCACACCTCCTTTTCCAGAATAGATCATATCTTCCTTACACAGCCTACACTTCCCTTGGTCAGATCCTCTTCTATCCTGCCCATCTCCTGGTCAGACCATTCTGCGGTGACCCTCTCTATCCCTTCTATACTATCCTCACCACCCTCCCCTTCTTGGTCTCTTAATGAATACCTTTTGTCGGATGAAGGTAATGTTTCTATAATTCGTGCAGCTATTTTGGAATACCTGGCCCATAACTCTACACCTGACATTGCTCCAGTGACGCTATGGGAAGCTCATGAAGTGGTTATATGGGGGCAATGTATCAGACTTGCCTCTAAAATTAAACGAGAACGCCTACGAAAACAAAAATCTCTGGAGGATACTTTCCTTATAGCCTCCGCAGATTTTTCCCTCTCCCCACACCCGCTAATCGTCGTAGAGTTGAGTCAGCACGAAGGGACTTGAATTTGTTATTGTCATATAAAACTGATGCTATTTTACGGAGGACGAGACATCATTTTTATATGCATGCTAACAAACCTACCTCCATGCTGGCAACTTGTCTCAGTAATCTTGATCCGACAAGACGTCCTCTGACTTTGCGTACCGCCCAGGGCTCCCTTACCAATAACCCTAACATAATTGTAGATGAATTTAGTAAACACTTGACGAAACTTTACACCCCAGACTGTACTTTTTCCAAAGATTCTGCTGATAATTTATTTGCCCCACTAGCTCTTCCACAGATCCCGACTGACATCAAATTGCTTCTGGAGGACACGATTTCTGAATCGGAAGTTCTCCAAGCTATCAAATCTCTCAAAACACAAAAGAGGGCGGGACCTGATGGTTTCCCTGCTCTTTATTATAAAAAATTATCAGATCTTTTAGCCCCGATCTTGGTTGCATCCTTTAATGCCCTCCGTTCCCACAGCAATCTAGGCACAGATACTCTTACAGCTTCAATCTGTATGATCCCCAAACCAAATTCAGATAATACTATTTGGGCGAATTTCCGCCCCATATCCCTACTAAATTTAGATATCAAAATCCTAGCTAAAATACTGGCGAACAGACTGAACTTGGGGATAGGTCAGCTGATTCCCAAAGATCAGGTTGGTTTTATGCCATTTCGTCAGGCCACGGACGGCATTCGTAGAGCGACTCTCCTCTCATCTAGCGCATTCGAGGAAAATCCCCGCTATGTTCCTCTCCCCAGACATTAAAAAAGCTTTTGATTCCCTCTCCTGGCCTTATCTTTTTTACATATTGGAGCGTTGGGGTTTCGGCCCTTTGTTTAGTAAATTGATATCTGCTCTTTACACCTTCCCTACAGCTAGAGTTCATTATGCTGGGTTTAAATCTGCCCCCTTCTCTATAAACAGAGGGACTAGACAAGGGTGTCCTCTATCCCCGTTACTCTTTGCATTAGCCATAGAACCACTCGCGCAATTGATCCGTGAGCATCCTGATATATCAGGAATCCCCGTAGCTGGCCATCATTACAAGTTGAGTCTGTTCGCCGACTACATCCTTCTCACCGTGTCACAACCTCTTGTCTCGCTCCCTAATCTCTTTGCAATTCTTTCTTCCTTCAGCTCCTTTTCAGGTCTCTCTGTGAACCTCTCAAAAGCTAAAGCACTCAACATTTCGCTTCCTTACCAGACGGTTCAGCTAATCCGATCATCATTCACGTTTCCCTGGGCCCTCACTGCTCTCTCTCTTATCTAGGTGTTCAATTGACCTCTTCTTATACATCATTATATTCAGCTAATTATCCTCCATTATTTCAACGTCTACGATCCTTACTCTCTACCTGGTCTCATTTCCCCCTTTCCCTAATGGGTCCTATAGCAGCTGTAAAAATGACCTTCCTACAAAATTACTTTATTTCTTCAGAATCCTCCCTGTTCATATACCTACTCACAATATCTGAATACTTCAAAGACATGTGATGCACTTCATCTGGGCGGGTCATAAGCCTCGTATTCCTAGACATTCTATGTTTCTCCCTAGACCGCTAGATGGTCTGGGTGTGCCTGACCTAATGCAATATTACCGTGCGGCACAAATCGCACCTCTGACTAAGTACCATACCTCAATTGAGGTTCCTTTATGGGTTTCGCTAGAAGCTGTAGATTGTGACCCAATTGGAGTACATAATCTACTATGGTCTATCCCACGGACTCGTCCCAAGATTCACAATCCGATAACTTTACATTCCCTGAAGATATGGGACTCTGTGAAACACTCCGGAAAACTTATTTCCCCCCAACTTCCCCTTCTCTCCTTTCTTAATAACCCAGCCTTCCTCCCTGGCCTGGAAACTCCAGCTGCTTTCTCCAGATGGTCTGACAACAATATGATACGCTTTCACTCTCTGCTCGACTCAAATGGAATTACGTCCTTTTCAACGTTACACACTAGACATGACTTCAGAACTGCTGATGTTTTCCGACATATTCAAATACGACATTTCATAACCTCCATGATAGGCCCTAATCTCACTTGCTCTCCTCTTACTTCATTCGAACGTTTTTGCTTAGACTCTCCACCTACTAAAGGAGTAATTTCTCAGCTCTATTCCTCCCTACTTCACTCTTCTTCTATACCTGCTCACACATATATGTCACACTGGCATCGAGATCTGGGGATAATTTTGGATAGTGAGCAATGGGATCAAATTTGGGCCTCGATCAGGACTTCCTCTCCATGTGCAGCGGCAGTGGAGACTAACTATAAAGTTATAATGAGATGGTATTATGTTCCCTCTAGACTGGCTCGTATGTTTCCTTCATCTTCTCCGCTATGTTATCGCCAATGTGATTCCATAGGTACAATGTTCCACACATGGTGGGAATGTCTGATAGCACAGAGTTTTTGGAGCAAAATATTTGCCTTTATTCATTTCCTTATCAATATTACTCCCCCATTTCAACCAACAGTAGCTCTTCTAAACTTGAGACCTGACAATATTCCAACCTCACAATTTATCCTTATGACACACATTCTCACTGCTGCTAAACAAACAATTGCAAAAGCCTGGTTGTCTCCTGTATTTAAAATGTCTGAGGTGAAAACCCGTCTTCACACAGTGTTTGTACACGAAAAACCCACTGCAAAACTTCAAGACAAAATGGTAAAATTCGAAAGGATCTGGGATCCATGGATCCAGAAATGTCTTCCAATTTTTTTTGATGCTGCTTTAAAGAGGGCTTGAAATGCTATTATCAATTTTATTCTTAATTCTTCACATTTTAATATTGATAATCTGTCTCAGAACTTGTCCCCCCCCCCCCTCATTCTCCTTCTCTCCCTTTTTTCTCTCTTAGTCTGTCTCTATTCTGTTCTTTCCTTTCCCTTCCAATCCGATCTAGATAATTTACTTATTGCATTATGTGATATTATATTTTGTCTTCCTATCTTTACCTTATATTGAATTATCAAATTGTTGCGCATGATAGTGTTGCATACTAGTATCTATATAGTTATGTTTTATAATTTTAGTATTGTTCTATTCGGATTTTGTATTCTGAAAATTGTCAATAAAAATAATTAAAAAAAAAAAGTAGAAAGACGTGCTTGCTTGATCACACCCAGTATTGTAATAAAGGCATAATGGCTAGGAAGAATGATGAGTCAATTGCATGAGCAGAAAATTACATTTCAAAATACATTCTGTACACATTGGGGGGAATTTATCAGAACTGGAGCAGACAAAATCTGAAGCAGTTCTGCATGGCAACCAATCAGCTTCCCTCTTTCATTTTCAAATCGGAAGCTGATTGGTTGCCATGGGCAAGTGCTCAAGATTCTGCTTGCTCCAGTTTTGATAAATTCCCCTCACTGAGTGTACAGAATACCCCCATCTGCTGTGTTTGCAAGGAAGCAATTCTTAAATAACATTAAAGCAGAAATCCAAGAAATATCTGTTTGACACTTTCACCATTCAGAGAACGTCTTATACATACTTCCATGAATACAAGCCATTCTCTGATTGGACAAACAAGAGAGGATGGGGTACTGACGCCATGATTTTAGCTTAGTGCAATTAGAGAACGCCTTGTTTTCATGCATCCCATGCATATTTCTGTATCCTCAGCAACTCTCTGGAGGTGAGTATTGAAGAATTAGATGTAATCAATCTAGGCCAATGTAAGTAAGATAACATAGTTGCTGAAGTTCAACTTTAAATGACAAAATGGCTTATATAGCAATTATATGTGTCATCTTTTTTTTTTCACAGAACGTGGAGTTACTCTTGCACAGAGAAGTCATAGAAAGCATACTTACGGCAGAAGTGGTCAGTCCTCCAGTTTCCTGGGCGACCTCCAGCATGGGAACACTGCCTAGAATATTCACTGATAGTGCTACACAGGCAGAAGGAGTCCTGGGATTGCCCACAGGAGCACATGTCCAGCACACAGGCATTAATATAAGCTTCCACATTAAGGAGATCGGGGCAGCCAGAAAATGCAGCATGTGACAGGTGTTCTTCACACACCGAGCGCTGAGGAAAATATGAAGATGGTTAATGAGAGGTGGAGGCAAGGGTTTTCTGTTACATATATATTAACCTATCAGTGTTTAGTCTCTTCCAGGACTAAAAACATGAATTAAAAACACGACTGTCTGCTATAGACAAAACATACAGGGGGGAATTATTTAAAACGGGAGCAGACAGATTCTGGAGCCGTTGCTTATGGCAACCAAACAGCGTTTCTCTTCAGTTTGTTCAGCTAAGATTTGAAAATGAAAAAGAGAAGCTGATTGGTTGCCATGGGCAACTCGCCAGATTGCATCTGTTGCAATTTTAATACATTTCCCTCACAGTATTCTTTATACAGGAGCCATAAAGACCTTATCCCTCATCAAGGTTTATTTTAGAACATTTATATTATATAGTGATGACTGCAGGGAGACTAATGGGAACATATTTCTACAATATTTACTTTTGAGGTGGTCGCTTGTGTTTCTCCCTATTTAGTAGAACATGCATACTTAAAACAGACCTTTACCCATATCTTTAAAATAACAACACACACACCTTTAGAAATGTTTACTAATGACAATCTACAAACACATACTTCTAAATAATTGCCGGCTTTGTATTCTTTACACTCCTTATTTATCTTTTCTTTCCCAGTCTTCGGACAGTGGCCATGTTTACTAAGGGCAGATTACTAGCTCTCCTATTACTTCCTGGATTTCTAGCACATGTGACTGGACATGTGACTCGGACATGTGACCATACATATCATCTCAGGGGAGGAAAATGCCTTTCCCTGAGATCTCGTGAGATTACAGATGACATTTCCCAGCAATGCTCTGCTGATGACAAGGCAATCCCAATGTGCATTGCGTTGGCAAATTGAAGTCTTTTGCACTTTCAAAGCAGGAAGTGATTGCTCTGTGTGTGTAAGTATTTCAAAATCACAGCATTTTACAGCTGACATGTCTATGTTATTATTAATCATCATACATAGAGGGGTGCATTGGTAGAGTTTGATTTTTGAGTGTAAAGGTCCGCTTTAATTATGGGATGGTAACGTTTAATTTTGAGTGGCTTAAAGTGAACCTGTGTTATGTGCATACTGTTATGTGCATAATGCCCATTCCCCTGTACTCACCTTTCCTTTGAACACACACCACTACTGTGTATAGTCATTGGGAGCATAACAAATATCTGGCAATTTTAGATGTGGGGTGCATGGGACTGTCTCCCCTTCCTTGGTACAACAGTGAGAAACCAATAAACCAATCAAACTGTTGTATATCTACCTGCACTGTTGTTTGATGGTTACACTTTGTTTGGCTGAAGAAGGGATCTATACGGTTCCAAAATGTCGTTATACAATGTGATACATCTTTTGTCAATAAAGAGCATTGACAGAAAACCGTATTGGAGTGCGAGTGACTTTCTAACAAGTTTCACTGATCTGCAGAGGCAACTGTGTTATCTCAACACCCACCAATTACTCTGGGTTACAAATCCAGTCAGGAGTGCGATGGTATCTACGTGAGTTACTATTTGTCTCCCCTTCCTGTCACATGAGGGAGTCCGCAGCCCTGTGTGAGCTCCAACTACAGTGATTTGGATCTAACACAGGGCTTCTTCTCTTTCTCTCCTTGCTCTTGGCAGCTGACAAAGCATTAAGGGAATAAGGAACAATTAATGTGTGCTGCTTGGCATAGGGCATTAAAGCAAACATGTTGATTTCCCCTCATTGGCAAAGCTCAGGTTTGCTTTAAAGAGACAATTGCCCATTCAGCCCATCCCCCCAGCACAATTGCTCTTGCACAGATTTACCAGGGCTTCTGGGTATGGGGAGCAGGTATGGGTAAGTGTCCTCTGCTATGGAACAGTGCTTAGGCATGATTAACCAATAGCCAAACCAGAACATTGTAACGGGGAGAGGCAGTGACATCATCCACCCAAGTAAGTTCAGACACCATCTGACACCGGAGCTTACTGATTGTGAACAGCTTAAGCAGTGAGGTGGTGAGGGATGAGTGAATGTACCTTGCTGAGGAGGTATGCTATCAGGGGACACTATCACTTCTCCCTCAAAGGAAAAGTGATTCATTTTTGCTTACCAAAAGTGGCACTGCCGCTCTGTCAGAATAACAGGGTAAGGGAATAAGACAGCGATCGTAGAATTCAGTAGCAAATAAAGTTTTCACATGACTGCTGTTGCTTACTACTGGCGCTAGGGTAGCCTGACATAGGACCAATGCGTCCTTTGCCATGAACTCCATCATGGGAGAGCCTGTGTCTGATTGGACACAGAGTCCCTTCAGGTTTTGAGCAGCCATCCTTGACACAGAGGGGTTATATATAGCCCTTTCTGCCTCACTTGGGTGTGCCCGTAGTGTAAAGAATACAGAGAGGAACAGACGGCTTCATGTGAGAGAATAGGCCCACCATTAGGGACATGTTCCTGAGAGGAGAGATAGGTTAGGTACCCTCCCAAACAACCTCGGAGACTGTATGGCATCCAGAGAAATTGTGCTTCCTGAGTAATTGGTCTGGTGCATCTCTGTGCACTGCTCTGCTAGAACAGCATATTTTTGGAACGGTCACCCCCTAAGAAGCCTCATGGGTAAACATTTAGGGAAATATGCCTAAAGCACCCTCATATATGTAAGCTCTGCATGTTTTAGCTGCCTGGTGACTGATGTAAATACATGCCCTGTTGTACAGAGCTAAACTTTGGAGAGGGAATAACTTATTGTCATAACTGCTGATTACTCGCTACAACATTTAAAGAATATTTAAAGGAGACTTTGTGCTACCTGTTCACAATAAATCACTTCCACTGGGTGAGCAATGCCTACATGCATGCTTTTGAGGCACTAACGTTCATTTGTCAGGCAAGTCACAAAATAAAGAAACACCTTTCATCAATTTTAAAATTCAGAGGACATTGTTAGACCTTACTTTTTACATGTAGATGTGTATATAGACTGCAATGAAACACAACTAGAACTTGTTCTGAAAAAACATGGACATGAGACTGTTACTTACATATTGGGAACAATCGGATGTGTCCTTTTGCTGAGTCTCATCTACGTCGGTACAGGCAACGCTAGGGTCATTAATTTTCTGCATATTTCCAAACTGCACAGGACCAAAATATATGTCTGTGTACAAAATAAAACACCAAACAATTACCAATGCATCTCATTACAACCAAGACTTGTTATTTAGCTACAATGAATGAACCTACAATGAATGAACCTAATGCCAAACTCCAACCATTTTTGTTTACTTTTGGACAGAGTGAAAAACCGCTTATATTTCTGTCAAGCTCTTAATTCTGTCTGTGACATCTTGCACAGATTTTCCCTCACTACCTTTACCTGTGACTCCTGTATAGGGTTGCCACCTTTTCTTCAAGCAAAACCCGAACACTCTAGCGACGCGCAGACATTTTTTTGGAGTCGTGGCTTATTCATATGTAAATAGTACCACCCATTCATAGGTAAATATCACAGTCGAGACTGTACAGTGAAAGCCCAGTAGCCTCTATCTTAATTTTGGTTGCCCCTGTCTGCCCGACATCTTGTGTCCGGGTTTCTGCTGCCATGAAACCCGGACACAGCATTCAAAACCTGAACTGTCCGGGTGAATCCTGGACAGGTGACAACCCTACTCCTGTACAAGAAAGGAGGGGTGCAGGTGTTACCAAAAGTTAGCAAGAAAAACATTGTTAGAAATTCTAACCCTTTCCCGCTCAACTAAAAAATGTGTTTTTGTCTATGTTTTTGTTGCAGAGACTTCCCCAACAGGAAGTGAGGAAAAATCTCCAACACGGACAACATGGCTGTAACACCTCCCTGCTCTGCTCAAAAGGAAATAAAACTTTTTAGCTGGAAATGGGCTTTTAACTATGCATGAAGGGGTTCCACAACAACATGACACGTTGCATTCAAACTGCTCTCTTTAAGGCATTCTCACCACTGAGATTTTTGCTTCATAGCAATCTAATAAACATGCCTTATAGTGACATTTAACTCTTAAAAATGCATTTAAGTTATTCAAGTATTTACAATACAGTATCGTATTTGTGCATCACTCAGCTGTAGATCCTCAAATCATCTATGAATTCTTGCTGACACTGTCCTTCCTTCTGGAGGGTGACTACTTTTGTTCTCCATGGTCCCTGTGTGTTGTAAAGTAGGCACCGCTCCAAGCTCACTCCCGTGATGGACTATAATTTCAATACAAATTAGTAAACTAAACGTAAAATTGTAGTCCATCACAGGAGCATGATTGGAATGGTGGCTACTTTACAACACACATGGGGACCATGGAGAACGAAAGTAGCCACCCTCCAGAAGGAAGGACAGTTTTGGCGCCAATTTAGAGATGATTTGAGGATCTACAGCCGAGTGATACACAAATAAGATACATTTTTGTTAATTGTTAAGGTAATTCAATGCATTTTTAAGATTTAATCCCTGAGTTTAGTGTCACTTTAAGTACAATAGCATGCAATAGAAAATCATTATTCAGCCAGATAATACTATAATACTTATAATACTGGACACCCTGTGATGCTGGGCCCCATAAGATGCATATTGTCACCACTACAGTTATGCTTTAGCCAACATCTGTAAAGGTTTATTTTTAATGATAAGTCACAATAATCCGCACTGGAGTGGAATAAAGATTGGAAAAACCTCACCCTTTTCTGTCTTCAGTACCTACACATTGATCCTATAATGTGACAAGCAGCCTCCCTGACCACATTGACATATACCTCCAGTCTTCTCTACCTCTCGATCTATTGACCGTTTTCTATTGCTTTAAGAAGCAGTATATTGTATCATATATTCAGTTTCAACTGAAGTGTATGCATATCAGTTTACTTAAAATGCCTTGTTTGTATTCAGTATTTTAAACAATCATTGTTATTTAGTATAATGTCCAATAATCAGATTTTTGCAGCAGAAAACTGCATAGAATGGGATCTTAAATTTGATTACTAAAGATTACAAGACAACTCTTCTCTTTACATTATGTAATGCGGAATATTGAAGAACCCAACTATATAAATAAATATAGTATCACATACTTTTTATTCTATTTTATATAATATACAAATATAGTAAACACTACAACAAAACTCCCGACCAGCTGCCTGTTTAACACAGTTACATTAAGGTTAAACAGTAAGACTCACCACACATGTCAGATTGTACAACCTCCTTTAGATCTACCAACAAGTGTTGAGTGCTTAGTTGCTTAAGATAATCATTATGTTGCCCATTGTGCTGTATGTATTAAAACAGTAATATCACTACTAATCGGTAGAGTGATGCTGAAATAAGTTGGCACAAATCCAGATTACTTACCCCGATCGATGAATTCATTATAAGAAGGTATGCCATTATAGTCGCCACACAGTCCGCAGGTATGGTTGTTAAACTTTGGGTCCAGCTCCACCTGTACAGGAGAAGACAACTCTGTATTGCTACTGATGCTTTTACAGCAGAATCATAGTTATTGTTAAACTACAGTCCAGCAACCATCTTTCACTGGTATGTCTATTTGGGTAAATCAGGTAGATGTTGGTTACTATGTATCATTAATGATTGTATTATGAGGCAAAGAGCGATACACATGGGCTGATTTACTTACGGAGAGAATCTTAATGCAACAAATTGTCTGATTATTCACTTCAATTATCCAATCATTTAAAAATCAAATACCTGTTTATTTTTTAAATCTGCACTAGATATTCAAGTGAATAGGAATTTGCTATTTAATTGGATAATTGGTGTGAATTTATACACAATTTATTGAGTGTAAATGATCAATTCCTTTAGAAAATCAGCATCATAATGTGACCTAATTCCTAACACAGGTTCAACTTTCATAGTTCTTACAAATGAAACCTGATGAAGATCTGACTGCTTGATGAGGGTTACTGCTCATCAATGCACAGTCCTCTAAACCAGCCTTTCCCGATCTTTATTTAAGGCACCCTTTAAAAGGATGCAAAATCTCGAGACACCCCAGTCTAAAATGTAAAAGTTGTAAATTTAAAAAATTACCCAGATAGGAGTGTGGTATGGATTTTAAGGAAAAAATGGTTCTCCAGATTTGCATCATAGTCCCCCATCAAATCAGGAAGCCCCAATTTACATTTGAGCCCCCTTTACAGTAGGACCCCCATCACATCAGACTCCCCCTCTTTTTCATTAGAATCCCTCTTCATATCAGAAGCCCCTTTTCCACATCAGAATCCCCCCTTTACATTGGAACCCCTCTTTTATATTAGAGCCTGCAGTTGTTTCAGCATGGCAGAGGTTGGAGGAGAACTACTGTCCTTTTCTGAATAGATCCCACCCTCCCTGGAATAGCATTATTCGTTTCCATGGTGCTGTTAAACATTTTGAGGCACCCCTGAGGAAGCCAGAAGGCACCTCATGGTTCCAGCGCAACATGGTTGAGAACGACTGCTCTAAGTAAACAATTCTCTATATCAGCAATGCAGAAGATACCATTTAAGAGGAGGGGTATAGTATAGTACAGTAACAGAAGATGTCTTATAAAGAAAGTTTAGATGCTTTACAGTGTTTTTTCGAGGTTGGTACTTCCAGATTCCTTACCATGATTGCATCTTCTTTGTTCCACATAAGGGTTAAACCCATCTTCGTATACATCTTAAAGTATGTATCAGTTTTCTGAAGCAGGATTCCAAAGCTGTAGTATGGTGTCTTAGCACTGTAAAATATGGTAATTGGAACATACATATTCAGTGCAAGTTTTTTTTAATAATTGTAAAGTGTGGAGAAAACAAACAAAAACACTCACATGAAACATCACTCAATAATCCACTTTCTAAAGATTTAAACCTAAACTCCAGGCACACAACTAAAATAAAAGCTACAATGCCAAATTCTCTGTTATATTTTCCATAACCACCTTGTTCAGTAAGCTTTGGAAATGAGTGGTTTCAGAAAGATGGCAATACATTCAGTTATTCTGTGTTGAAATAAACTGTCCCTGAGAAATATCCTGATTAGGGATAGGCAGAGGGATTTCTGTGAAATCGATTTCATACCGAACCAGAACCTCCAATTTTCCTCAATGAGGTGAAATTTGGTTGAGGAAAAATTCCTACCATTTTTTGTTTTTGTTTTATTCATATTTTTTAGGGGGGTTACTATTAAATAATAGTTTAGCTCATTGTATTTAGTATACTTTGTATTTATATTTTATTTCCTTTTTTGTATATTTGACCGTTATTTGTGTACTATCACTCGAAATGTTTTATTTTCCTTTTTCTTTAACTGTCTGTTTTTCTTTTTTTCTGTGTTTTGCCTGCTTTTCTTTTTGTGAAAAAAATAATAATAAGACTAATGAGGAGCTTCTTTTGGCACAAAAACAGGTTCAGGATAGTTATAATGAGTAATCATAACCCTCCGGAGCCATTTAACACCCACTGTACAGTATCCTTAGAAACTACCAAAACCAATCAAAATTTTGCCTCCACTATTGACTCCAATGCAGTAGGTGACAATATGCTGAAATTTCCTGATTTTTACAAAAATTGTGCAGTCATAAAAACTTTGATTTGCTCATTGCCATATTCTGATATGGTGCTGGCATGATCATTTATTTAATTTACTAGTGATTCATTTTTCAAGTGTTAAAGGCAATTGAGAGGAAAGCAACAACGTTTAAATTGTAGGGTTTTATTTTCAATATTTAAAAATGCTTATATTTGTAGCTTTATGTAAGGGGCTTATTGCTGCCTGCATCCCCTTCTCGAGTATTAATCATGCAATGGTTCCAAACTTGGGCTGAGGTATTTGTTTTATCCTCAGTTGTTAGATATTGGGTGAGTACATCTAAGCTTACTCCTACAAAATTCAGTGTGGCTGAGTATTCAGTGTTCATTCTTTTTCTATAGTTATCATGAGTATTCACAGGCTGATTTCACAATATGGTTGGTAACTTTAGTTCTTGAGAATCCATGATTCATAACAATAAGGTAGAGTTCTATTGAAACATCCAGTATTTAAAACTGCTATAAATGTTTAACTTTTTCAGGGTTACACCTTACAGTGCTCACCATATGTTCTAAGTTACGTACAAGACTTGGTCTATCTATTAAGGAACCTCATTTTAATTGTTTTATCTAATACACCCCACCCAAGGGAACACCTTGTACAAATGTCAGATCATATACTGCTGCTTACAAAAGACAGCGCCCTTATCCAGACTGCAGTTCTGTCAATAATTATGGATATCGATCAAAGGGAGATAGATTTAGAAAAGCCAAAGCAAAACAATGTTTTATAATAAAGTAACATTAACATTTGTAAAAAATATAGCTGACAGCAATGCCATTTGTTTAGATAATAAAACAAATTTTAATTTAATTTCCTCCTGACACTTTCCCCCCTAAGTTATGGCTTATGTGGATTGTCTTCAGAAAAGGGGTAGGTGGTGAAATCTGAAATTTCTGTATTTGTATTATTTAGTCAATAAATATTAATTTATACTTTTTTTGGTCAACTTTTTTTCAGATTTATGCTAGCCATAAAAATGTGAAGATTCTGAGTCAATCAGGATCAGAAGACAATCAAATGTCTATAGCCTACCTACTACTTGTGCGGGTCTGGGGGTGGGATGGAATCCAAGATAGATTTCTCAATATGATTATAAGTCCCCTTGGATACTGCTGGCAATTAAGGTGTATACATTTGCTTGCTCACTCAGTTCTGGCTTACATTTTTATACCAGGATCATGGCATAAAATGATGATGTCTGGATGATTGTATTGTCCCTCTCAGATAAAGCTGGTGGTGGATGCAAAGAAATGTGCTTGCTCAGATAGTTTCAGCTTATATATTTTTTCCATGATCATTACACAGAATGATCATGTACCTGTCAGAAGATCCAACCACAGTCTCTTGTCTATGGCTGTCATTAGTGTACATAAATACTCACAGTAGTTTTTCTGTGATTGTGGCATGCTTTCACTCACTGGCCAGATCTCTGTACAAGATTTGACCAAATCCTGATAATAACCATTAGGACCAATGCATAAAGTTTAATGTAAGTGGAAAGAGATTTGTACCACTGTATGTCTTCTTTCAAATTCTGCCATCCATTTCCTAGTTTACAGACTGGTGGCTTCCACAAAGGGTTAAGTAGTTTTACATCTGAGCACTGCACAGTTTCTAATCCTCACTGCTTAAGTAATGGATCCAATGCTTTAAATTGATTGGGATGCAAATCCATACTAAATATGGTGTTCTTCTGAAACTTCTAATACAAGGCTTAAATAAATTACATTTATTTAATGAAAATTGGCAGACATTAGTAATTACTGCATGTCCACCCCTTCAGATGAAAAAATTTTATTCAACATCCAATAAAATTGTTTTGTAAAATGTTTTATTTTAAATTAATTTATCAGTATTCAACGCATTATGATTATTAGTATTATATGTTATTATTATTTAGGATTTATATAGTGCCAACAGTTTGTGCAGTGCTTTACATTATAAGGAAGACATTACATAACAATACAATTCAAGACAAGATGGTTAGGGGGGCTTACAATCCAAAAGTTTAGTAAAGAGGTTCTGGAGGTTAAACATTGTCAATGTATTTAGTCCATTCCACTCCTATCTTATTTAGACCATATCCCTTCTATTTTGTTCTTTTTTCTACCTATAAAGAAATCCACAGTCCATAGAAATATTCCCCTTTCTCCACATGTTTCACCATGGTCTGCGGCTTTGTCAAAGAGATAAACGTACCCCATACTTGACCTAATACTGCAGTGTAGCCTGAAAAGTATTATACCATGCAAGAAAAAGTATTTCAGAGCACAGAGCATAACTGACCCTGGAAATTCTGTATGTGACCCTTTTACTTAAATTGATGGACCTAGCACTAAAGCTGCCCATGAATTCACTGAAATTCGTGCCATGGGTGGCCCTATCAGCACCTCCTGGCTCCACAAACGTTGATTGAAAAATTGAAGGATCTGGGTGGTTGCTGTTTGAATACACAAACCAGCAGGGAAGATTCCTCCATCCACAGTGTGAATGGGAAAATAGATACATTTATTTTGTGCAGCCTGAAGGCTGAATAAGAGAGATCTATGCATGTTGTTAGGGTTTCTTACTCTTCCTACTCCAGTTAGCTGTGCATGGCTTGTTTAGCAGTATGTTTGACGCTATTGTTTCTCTTTGCCACTCTCTTATGACCAAACCCGCAAACATCATCATTCTGCAATTACTAAAAAAACATGATGAATTCCTGTCTCAGAGTGATGATGCAAATACCAGTTAACTATTTAACTATCAGCTTGTCCATTCAGTCTCTGCCCTTGCGTGTGTTCTGATCCACCAAGTGCTGTGCTGTTTTTCCTGTTCTCTGTGTATGACCCTGGCTCTTGCTGACTGATCTCCTGGTTCCTGACTCCGGCTTTTGTTTCCCTTTATTCTGCTCTCAGAGTTCCCTGACCTGGTTCGGCTGACTACCCGCTTTGGCATCAGACCTCTGGCTTGGCGTTGACTTCGTCCTGAACTTCCTGCATTGTTTTTTTGCCATCTTTATTTATTGTTTTTCTCAATAAACTCCTTTTATTTTTAACCTGCACTTAAGTTTCTGTCTGGTTTCTTGGTTCCCTAATACATGTATGGCTAGCTTAAGAGATCATTCAGTTTGGCCATCTGCATGTGGACACTGGACATTGATTTGATGCATATCATGCACCAGATATTTATTAGTAAATGCTTATAATAACACTTTTCAATAAGATTTACTGTTGGCATATTGGATTTTTTTTTGTCACAACTGTATGCACCAGGAAAAAAGAAAAAGGCTAGTTGCACTCCTTACCGGTATGACCCCGTGATCGGGGAGGGGTGCTCGGAATGACTGCGGATGGCGCCGCCAAATACAGATAATTGCAGAAACGTCACCAGCACACCAAATCCTTATAGGATCAAAGTTCGTAGATTTTATTGCAAACTCATGTCAGTTACACAAGCGCTTTCGGGGCCACACAGGGTCCCTTCATCAGGCATAGCAATGACCATTGCTATGCCTGATGAAGGGACCCTGTGTGCCCCCGAAAGCGCTTGTGTAACTGACATGAGTTTGCAATAAAATCTACGAACTTTGATCCTATAAGGATTTGGTGTGCTGGTGACGTTTCTGCAATTAACTGTATGCACCAGTCTCAAGTCAATACAGAGATTTAAATCTAATCAATCGTTGATAATATAAAGACAAATAAGTACATGTCTTTCAAAGCAGGAGCAGTTAAAACAATTTAGATGCAAATATGTTATTCTACATTTAGAGAAAACATAACGTAATACTGTAGGCTTTTACTTACATGGCTCCATTCACCAACGCATGACTGCTTTTCAGTTGAATGATGACATCTTTGATAGTGATGGTGATTTTATCTACGAGTGGGTGATTATCGTCAGTTGTCCGGTGGACATGGACTGAGAATTCTTGATAAGAGTCCCGACAGTCTGAAGCTAAGTTGTAGCTACATTTTCCTGGAAACTGGTAATAGTCCCCATCAAATGTCTTGAAGTGATGGTTTCCCCATGTACTACAGACATAGTGGCCATGATTGCGTATTCGTCCTGTTAGGAGATGGTATAGATGGTTATAACTGCTAGAAGATAAACATGGCTTATGTGCAGTCTGTTTCAGAGCAATAGATTTTAAATAAATTAGCTTGAAGGACTTGATTTTGACATATAGGGGTTGATTTACTAAACTTATAAACACACCACGAACATGTATACACCTCTGTAGTGTGTTCCCTCCCAGCATGATCTAAAGGTGGAATCTAAACACCTTTGTAGTGTGTACACACCCAGCAGGTGTGTTGTGCAAAGCCCTGCATGTTGCAAGGTGATGTTGTGTAAATTAGCTCTACATTGTGTTGCTTGCGTTGATGAATGCAGGAATGTAAATGCAGGTGCTAACCATTTTTGTCTAAACTGTGAAGCAGCATTATATATGCATCATGTGCATGATTTTTCCATATATGGCATTAGTGGAAATATGCTTTTAGAGACTTTTTGGTTGATAAATACGTTTTGCTGTGTAAAAATCACACGCACCTAGTGCGTGCGTGTGTTTAGGTTAGTAAAGCACCCCCATATTGTCAGTCCAGAAAACCTCTGTTAACAGCTACAGGATTTTTTAACTTACATATTTTTTTATTTTCCTTGATGGGATGCCCTTAAACTTGAAGCGTTTAATGAATGCATAAACATCTACTAACATCTACTAAACATCTCATAAGAATCTACTGCATAAACACTCACAAACATGCATCATCCATATACGAAAAATTAATAATTTAACCAGACATATTTTAGGACCTTTTTCTCTATAAATTTTAATGTATGCAAATTTGATCTTAATTTATAAAACAATTTTCTAATCTTAAAAACAACATCATTTGGCCAATTTTTCTGTTAGCCAAACAAGCACTGTAGCTGTCAATAATTGATGTTAGAAACCTAGAGAGATTATTTCTCTTCTGAGAAATGTCTGTGAATAAAAAAAACTGATTTTTGTGACTTCAGATAATTGTGTCATACTCACTTATCACTAGTAATATTTTATTCTGCTTCACTGCTTGTGAAAATTGGATATATTGTAGCCAAGAATCTTTTTAACATCCAGAACAGTGTAAATTATATTCTTTCAAAGTCAGCATCACAAAATGTACCTATGTGCATCCCAACAACTTTACATTCCATTATGCTATCCTCTTAATTTCCTATCATGTGTCATTTTTTAAAAATGTTTTCTTATCCCATCGCAAATGATGGGTTGATATACGGTTAGTAAAGTAGATGTAATTACCTGATTTTATAGTAAAGGCACTTGAGAGAGCTAGTGCCAGCCACAGCACCACCAAACTGGCAGTCTGGAACCCCATTGTATGTCCCTGGGGCGACTGTTCCTTCAGTAGTATAAGGCACAGTTACTTCTTGCTTTTTATAGGATGATTTGGTGTGTTAGTGACCTCACAGGGGCAGGGAAATGATCAATCTTTACAATCAGTGTAAACATTATGTTTTCTTTCATATAATAGGCTGTCTGGGAGGGATCTTCTAAGAGACATTTATTTCTTTAACTAAGTAACTGCTGGTCAAACCTTTGATACACATCAGTGTTAGAGAATGCCAGTAGTGAATGCAACCTTACCTGTTTCTTTCCTATATACATTGTATGCTTAAAAAAGTTATTTGTTTTCAACCCGTTTATTATACCTTCTCTTAGAGGAAATTATATAGTCTTGTTTGACTTTGTATTATATATACAGTTTGTATATTCCTTTACTTGATCATTTGTACTTATTCATTTATTACATTTGGGGAAAAAAATAATAAACACAAAAATAGGTAATTTGCATTTGCTTTTTACATTGTTCAAATTAGAGGAATTATTTATCTGCATGGTTATTTCTATTACACACAATGTCTTGTTTTAAAACCATTTATTCCTTCTACCCTGAACATGACATATAAAAAAAAAGCTACAAGTAGATAGTATTCAACTCTATTAACTTTTATTGTGTATTGCAGTACAATATTCTAAAACAATCTTAGAAATGTTTATATTTATACGTCTCTGGACACATTTATGTTAACAAATGTTTTATGTTATGTTCGTTTATTTTATCACATTATTATTTCTTTAATTGATTCTGAGAACTGTTTTATGTATTACAGAGTATTTATTGCAAATATTGTATATACATAAACTGTTGCACACTGCAGAAATTTCCTTTGTTCTTATATATTTTTTTATCATTCAGACATATCTAAAAGGACACCAATAATTATAAATATGTTTTTTTTAATGAGACAATTTATTTAATTCAGTACTACATCCTGATGTAAAAGTACTGCAGGGTGTGTCAAGATATTCTGCCTTCTGCAGTATACGTGCCTAATGAGCTGGTGTTGCCAGAGCACTTCCCAGCTGTCACTGCCTTAAAGGACTTGGCCCAATTTCTGTACCAGGAAAGGAATAATGCTAAACAAATAGAAGTGGTTTGATTATACAATCTAATTTATAGGGAACGGGTTTTAAGGTGTAAATGTCCCCCACTACTGATTATAAGAAGGTGTGACATAAGCCCTCTGCCATGCTTCTGGTGTAACTGGATACCAGTAGGAAAGCCAATAACTAACACTGAGAATTTCCACATGTCATGGGAGTTTTTAAAGCAAGACCAGCTTTCTACTATGATGAAGAAAACCAAGAAGTGACAAGTACTTTGGGCTTTTGGATTAGTTGTCAATATTGAGGTGGTATTGAGTAGAAAAATACTCTATAAAGAGGTTAGCAGGGAAAAAGTTTAACTCTTTTTTTTTCTACTTATTGAGGGGACTATTCAGTAATTTTCAGGTCTTATCTTGTTAAATGCCACCTTTGAAGGAAAGTACAGTGAAGCTACGATTCGCTAACATTTAAGCCCTTTGGTAATCAATTTACTAGCTAATGACCCTACTCTACAAATTATTCTATTATATAACACTTGTTTTAAAGAAGAACTCCAGGGAAAAAATGTATCAACCCTTGCAGTGGGGCTACCTCCCACACTGCAAGGGTTAACTGTTTGTTTGTTTCTAGGTGCTAAAAAAAAGTTATATTCAACAGATCATTGCAGCCGGCTTGCTCTTAGACCGAGTCCCTAGGGCCTCCCCCTCCTCCCTCTGCAACTTTATATAACATTAAAATTATAATTCTACATAAGTATCAATAGTGGCACCTCCTCTAAAAACCAACCCAGCACATTACATCTAATTACAGTAATGGTTAAAACCTCACAAACTCTTAGATCGTGAGTAACAAAAATGGTGGGATGAATACCTCATAAATGGAGCAGAGAGAATGTAGAGGAGTTGCCCATAGTAACCAATCAGCTTCCCTTTTTCATTTGTTATGTTAATAATGGAAAATGAGAGAAGCTTTTAAATGAAACATATGATAATGATGCTGTGTGTATTACCATAATAATTCATATAACACTGCATTAAGTGACTTATGACACTATTATTTCTACTTTACATGTTGCATCTAATAATGTTTGTATTTTTATAAAATGTCAGTTGTTCGAAGGCTCCACACCCAGAAAACATTAAAAAACTCAGTATGCCTAATAGAGATACAAGAACTGAGTTAGTTAATAGTGTATGTTTTAGGATATGTGACCCTTCGGCTTCTTCCTCATTTATTAGAAAACACAGGACATATTTAGTGCACTTAAAGCTTAGTGTTTGTTTGATATTTGATAGTGACTGACTTACGTGGCCATGTTCCTGTACCTTTACACAATATATAAAGAGTTAAATGTTATACTGATGCTTTAATTTTTTTGTGCTTTGAATGTACAGTATGTATTATCATACAGATACTTTAAATCATATCTTCAGTAAATAGTTTAAATTAGCATAATTTTAACATTAAATAACTGGTGCCAGTGGCGAAACCAGAGTTACGGGCGCCCGGGGCAGAACAAAATGTTGCGCCCCCCACAACCATTATATCACCACCTCATCCATCCTGTCCCTCTGGTTCTAAGGATAATTCAGTACAATACATTCAATACATTAAACAGCAATGCAGAATGGCTCCAGCTATAGAGGACTACAAATCCCAGCAATGCATTATACAGCAATGGAGAATCGCAACCGGCTATAGAGGACTACAAATCCCAGCAATGCATTATACAGCAAGGCAGAATCGCAACCGGCTAAGAGGACTACAAATCCCAGCAATACATTATACAGCAATGCAGAATGGCACCGGTTAGGGCTACAAATCCCAGCAATACATTATATAGCAATGGAGAATAATATGAAGCTACATACTCTGTGTTGCTCAGCAGGGCTGTGCAGCATCTCAGGAGACTGTGCAGGGTCTGACCAGGGTGGTGTGTCCAGACAGCGGAAAGGAGGAGGAGATGTGCAGCCAGTGCTGTAAACAGGCATTGTGAGGTCCCCACATGGCTGCCCTGAGGTTCCCAGCAAGTGCAGGATCTTGCGGCAACCGAACCTGTAAAAAAAATCCTTAATCTCATCCTTCCCCCCCTATAGGCATTAGACCCCCCTACATTTCCCCTATAGGCAGCAGATCCCCACCATAAGGGTGTACAGGGGCAATGAGGACATGCTGGGTCTTGTAGTTCTGTATGCTATGAGGCTGTATGAATTACTGCCCTCCTGAAAGTACAAGTAATACAGTGCCACTATAAAAAAATATAATAAAACATAGTTGACCTGGAAAGTTTCAAGTTAAATTGAGTTCTATTCTATGTTTTATAGTGGCATTGTATCACTTGTTGATGGAAGACATGGAGGACCGCAACCGCCGCCAAAACATCCGAATCCGGGGGATCCCGGAGGCGACCTTGCCTGCAGACCTCTGGTCCACCGTACAGGCCATTTTTGGCTCCCTATTACCAGAAGCCACTCCAGACTCCATTCTGATGGACATTGTCCACCGCACCATTGGCCCTACACCTGCAGATCCTTCCCGCCCACGGGATATCCTTTGCCGCCTGCACTACTTCACAGTGAAAGAAGACATCCTGCGGCAGGCCTGGTTGAAAAGGCCAGTGGAGTTTGACGGGGCCCAGCTCCAGATCCTGCCGGATATCTCCAAGAACACCCTCCGACGTCGGGCCCTCCTGCATCCCCTGCTGGATGCGATCAGGCAGTCTGGGGCCATCTACCGCTGGGGATACCCCATACGTCTCCATGTCCGTAAAGACGGTTCCACGTTCCAGGTTCGCACGAGAGCAGATGTACCGGCCCTGTGTGAGTTCCTGGGCATACCGGCCCTACACCTTCCTGACTGGCTGGCCTACTTCCCGGATGACCAGGCCGCAACACCGAAGCCCCGCAGGGGCCGCCGGGTGCGCCGTTCCCCCTCTCGGGACCGACCTGCGTTCACATCTGAGGAGGTCGTGGAGGCTGCGGAACCGTAGACATGGTGAGACGCTGCCCCTCTTTTCGTCTCCATTTTTATGCTCTTTCAACCCTGCCCGAGCCTACCAAACCCATCCAGCCTATGGACCGGACTCAGGCCAGTTATACTCCATTGCCATAAGGGTCCCCGGAGCATCTCCCAGGGCTTACCACCACTACTGCCTCGTGGAGCCGCATCCCATCCCTAGGAGAGTGTCTGTGTCCTGTTGAACTGTGCTCCCTGAGAGGCGCCTACGGACCGCAGTGACCTACCACATTTCCCCCCCTTCCCTCTCTTTTTTTACCACTCCGTTTTCGGCCTACCCATGTGATCGGTCACCCCCTGGGATGCTCCTACCTCCCGAGTTGTAAGTTGGGGGTCCGTTGTGATATGGAGCTGGGTTCTGCCTTGAGTCCCACTTCCGGGAGATTTGTTTTTTTTGTTTTTTGTTACATGCCAGAGGGTTTCTTCCCCTGCTTGCAATGCCGTCTCGGTCTACCCGCTGTCGGGGAGCCGTGCGGCGGCTCCGCGGTGCCGGGGGAGGGTTGCACGCCCGGAATCCCGAGCGTTTGCCATTGGTTCCAGTGTGAACTGGTGCCAGGGGGTCCGGGTCTGAGTTGCCGCCCCCTCCGGGACCTACGCCGAGCCCTGCAGGCTCCACGACACAGGGTTGGTCATCTGCCATGTCAGGTGGTCAGGTTATATGCAATTACTGTTATACAGATTGTTTGAAATGTTGTTTTGAATATACTTACATGTGGTATTCACGGAGCACCGCTCCGCCTAGGTGTAGATTCGCTACCCCCACTAGTTGGTCCCAAGAGTGCCTTCAGGGCCATTGGGACGTCGAACTTCGGTTCACGCCTTAGCCTCAATTCCCCTCGGTGTTCTTCTCCCCCCCTCCCAATACAGCGTTCCCTCCCCATCGTCCCTGTCACTTTCTTCCTCATCCTCCTC